TGAGAAGAAAATTACATTATTCTCTTTGAAAACAGATGTTGAAATCAATGCCTTGCAGCTGGTTTTTTTCCATACTTGTATTGATTAATAATTATAACTTAAGATACCTTTCGATTCGAGTACATAGGAAAACAGAGTTGAAATCAAAGTATGAGGCTGCTTTTTTCCATTAACGTGATGATTAATAATTATAACTTTGGATACCCTTTGATCACATATATAGGATAACAGAGAAGTTGAAATCAAAGTCTTGAGGCAGCTTTTTTCATGCAGGTAGAATTCAAATATAAAGAACCACAAGTCACAGATGTGTGATATTCAAGGAGATTATGATATCCCTATATATTAATTTTAAATTTTAAGAATAATTTTTTAACAAGCACCCGTGTAATACACGGGTGTTGTACTAGTATGCACTAGGATCATGATTGCCTGAAGAGATTAATGTCAACACAAAATCTTCTCAAAAATCTATTTCGGTCTTGCTTTTGACAAAACGTAAATTTACATGATAAACACGTAAACCACACCATTGTAAGAGAAGTGAAAGCCTATAACTTCAACTAAAATGACCTGAAAATTAAGGAGAAGTGGAAGCCTATAACTTCCAAGTAAAAAGACTTAAAACTTAAGGAGACATGGAAGCTATTACTCATATTCCCGCTCTTTATCTTTGCTCGCTTGTTTTGGTACTCTTGCTCAGCCACGGATTTGCCGTCAAGAAGGTAAACATATCTGCAGCCTCACTGACACGAATTTATTTTGGTCAACAATTTTTTTTTTTTTTTTTTTACGCGTTTTACAAACCGATGTTATTTTCCTTGATGTTATTTTACCAATGCATATCTGCAGCCACTGCATCCAACTTATTTTTTACCAATTTATCCGCAGCCTAGCTCACTGACAGCCTAATTTTCCTTGATGTTATGTCTTTTCTTTTTCTTGGTCCCGTTGTATAGTCATATGTGGTGTATTTGGGAGGTCATTCACATGGAGAAGAAGACACACAAACTGATTATGATAGAGTCACTCAGTCTCATTATGACTTTCTTGGGTCATTCATGGGAAGGTAAGTAAGTGTAAGTGAAGTTCGTGCAGAGATGA